CCTCACCTGCTGCTGGGCAACGGGTTGAGGGCTCCTACTAGCCCCCCATCCCTCTAACCATTGTGTATCCTCCCCTAGCCTGTCGCTGGCAAGCCTGATAGGTTCCCCTATGATTGGAGGAGAAACAATGCTACCTTAAAATTATTGAAGTGTACTTGCTCTCTAATACGTTTGATATTTATTTTTACTATACTTACTGTCTTTTGAACAGGCAAATCTTTGTAAAGTACAGATTCAAATTCACAAAAGGATCTTTAAAGCCTACTGAATGTATAGGTAGTTACCCAACATGATCGTCTCCTGCTTACATACTAGTTTTTATTTTCTATGTCTATGTCAGAAGTGTATTTTGACTGTTATTTTAATGTTATATGTCTGCTAAATTTTTGCCTACTCTGATTAAGCTCGGTATATAATATTCTTTTAAACGTTTTACAGAAACTAGAGGGAAAAGGGAAAAAGAAAGAGAAACAAGAGATGATCGTGATTATGACCAGGAGCAGAGTACCTCCAGGGATCATAGAGATGACAGAGAGTCACGTGATGGAAGAGATCGGAGGGAGACAAGAGACAACAGAGATCGGAGGGAGACAAGGGAATCCAGAGACACTCGAGACTCCAGAGATACGAGGGATTACAGCAGAGATACCAAAGACAGTCGTGATCAGAGAGAGTCGCGCTCCACACGAGATTCTCATGACTACAGAGACAGAGAGAGTCGTGATGCCCATAAAAAGGATGACCAGTATCAGGAGGACTCGCGCAGCTATGGAAGATCCCATGGCAGAGAGGAGAGCTCTCGTGCTGAAACAAGGAATGACTCCAGAAGTGACTCCAGAAACGAGAGCAGAAGTGATAGAACTGGCAGAAGTCGAGGCAGAGGTCCAGAACTATCTGAAAAGGGTATTGTGTGATTTAAAAAATTAACAAGTGTCCCTGTTGTTGCAGACTGAATAATGACATGCATACAATCTTGTTTGATACTTGATATGGAAGTGTTACCAAATAGTTGATGCTTTTAAAGCTATGTTCATTTGTATTGTCGTTAAGTTAGAATAGTTGCTTAAATTTATAGCACTTACATGTTCGCCATTCATTGAAGTGGCATAACATTGGTATTCTGTCATCCCATTTTAAAACAAACCCTAACCCTTACACCACACTATCTAATGTTTCTGCAACCCTAGTTTTTCCCATGAGCTACAAATACAAGTAGGAGGCTGATGTGTAGTGGAGGATTCGTAGGGGGTAGTGTGTCTCAAAGTACTGGGCGGCAGGTTTTTTGTGTTCTCTCAAAAGCAACTGCATGTCTCAGCTGCTTGAAAAACATCTTTCACACACACCCATCTCTGGCTGCCCCTGCTGCCCTTCCCCTTCTTGACTGACTGAAAAAAAAACAAACCCAAAACAGTGGGATTGTAACCTTTGGCAGTGTTTTTGAAGGTCTGATGCACTTTGTAGAACAGCTTCACTTATCGCTTTCTCAGTCTTATTGTGACATATTCACATGGGAAATGCCATACAATTTTACAGGAGAAATTATATCTACTTTCTCTGCTTATTCCTGCCGCCCTGTCTATAAGCTTACATCCTACTTGGAACAAATCTGAACTGGCTTTTGGACTGGTTATGATATTTCTGGTCGGGAGACCTTGAGCTGTGACCAGGGGATGGTGATTTAGGAATTCTTGAGTTTGCAGTTTGAAAATAATAACTTTGCAATTAAAATGTGCAAAATTTGAATTGTTCATTATGTACAATTGCTGTTTCTGTGAACAGTTGATTCAAGTTTATTAGAAGTTACTACTTTAGTTGGTGTAAAATATCAGTGGATTTCCTTACATATGGAGACTCATCTTTTATATTGATACATCTCTATTAGGAAGCCGGGGGACTAGAGGATCCCAGGTCGATGGTCACAGCAGTAGTGGAAACTACCATGACAGCTGGGAATCAAGGAGTAGCTATGCTGATCGGGATCGCTATGATAGTCGAGAACAAGCAAGGGATTCCTCCTTTGAAAGAAGACATGGTGAACGGGACAGGCGTGACAACAGAGAAAGAGGTATTTTAATGTATATATGTAGTCAAATGTATATGTATGCGTGTGTTTCTATCCCCCTTCTTTTTCTTCCTTGTTCCACCCACGCACCACTTATGCATAAATAACTCATTTGACGCTGCACACTGACACTAGTCCTATCCTTGATGTAAGTTAACTTCTGTAGTAAGATCTCTCATTGACAGTGTATGCATGAATGCTATGGCCTTTCCCTGTGGCTAGATTTTGGCACCTTCTGTTTTTATTCATCCAAGTAGTCTTTAAACAAACTAAACTTCTTCAAGAGATTTCATAGTACAACTTCAGTGTAAAAATGTTTTTTCATCCTCTTTGCCTCCTGCTCCACTTCATGTGCATACAAATGTAAGCTTAGAGTTGTGATTGCTTTTCATTACGGTTTGTCTGTATAGAAGCATTGTACTTTTGCAGTGTAAATTGTTTGAGTGTGTTTTGGGGAAGGTCTTACTGCTAGACTGACTTAATTACAGACTACTCACTACTACAGTAAGTGACAGTTTAAATTTATGGTTAGTTCAAAAATGAGGAATTTAATATTGATGAATGCTTTGCTGTGATCAATAAGTTGGCTAGTAAGTGTTGGTACAGATACCAGTGATCATGGAAAGAGTATCCAAGGCTTCTTTTAGACACAGTATGGAAGATGTCACACTTCTGCACCTGAAAGAGTACTGCCTTGTCTCTAAGAAGCTTAGTACCAACTTTCACTCTGGAAAATATTTGTGTTGCTCACCAATTAAGAGAACAGAAGGAGTCAGGCAAATAAAAATAGCATGGATATGAAAGGAGGACCTGTGAAGAATAAATATAAAATTACAGTGAATTTTTTTCTATCTTGAGTTTTGATTTGGAAGTGACAGATATTTTCAAGCTGTTGTTTAACTTCAGTTTTTCAAGTGGGTATTTTGTATGCTACTTTGAGATATACTCTTTGGCCCATTGAAATCTATCTATTATTGCTTGCTCTTATGAAAGGCTCTGCTTTAGATTCTGTCTCATCTTCAAGGCAGGATTTCAACAAACCTGATCGCCAGGCTTCCTTTTTCTTGTCAGCTGAAAAATCCTGCAGTCTGAATGTGTCCTGGGGATTGGCTTTGGCAGACTAGCTTGAATCTCTTCCATCTCCCCAACCCCAATAAATGTAATTTTTAATCTTCATATCACACCAAGTTCTTAATTTATTAAGAATTAAAAAAAAAAAATCTTAGAAATAAAAATATGTCATCACAACAAAATAAATTTTTAGAAGGAAGGTTGCTTTGAATGGGTTGGGTTTCCATTTTTGGGGTGAAATACAAAGAACGTGAATGGAGAAAAGATTTGTTTTTTTCTCCCTTAAAAATTTAAATCACTTTTTCTAATAGTAAGTCCTGCTCAGAGTTACAATTGAAGATATAGTTTCCATAATTAGGCCACAGTCTTAACACTTGTCAGTCAGAGAAAAATCGAGATAGATTTTGGTTGGTACTTAGTTCCGTGATATGTAAGGAATCTTTTTAGCATGATTTTAAAACGCAAGCTTGCGAATTTGGGTGCCCTTATTCAACTGAGGCAAATACGTAGGCGTTTCAAACAACCACTGGAACAGTGCTTCAAAAAATGAAGTCATGTAAAAGGTTCTGACTATTCACTTTAATTGTCTAATATACTTCCAGTGTCTTGATTCATGTAAGACTTTCATGTGGATGTTTTGTCACCAAAACAGAGATAACAAACAGGAGTTACGGAACTTCTGTATAAAATCTAATATTTAGTATGCACAGTAAATCATATTGTAGTGTTATAGGCACCATTAAAAGATTGTGAAATCTGTTCACAGACAATTGCGTGGATTGGTGATTTACCTTTTTAAAAAAGAAGCGTTACTTCCATGGCAGAAATGTTACTCAAGTTTGCTTTTAATTTTACCTGGTAACAGGGGAGCATTAAGGCATTGTTAATTCACTCAGAGATGAAAATTGATTAAACTGATGGAAATGCATGTTATATTGATTTAGTCTTGTGCAAACTCTGCCTGCTCTCCCCTGGTGGATGTTGTCTCAATTTACAGTGAAGTGCACTCTCAGCCTCAGAGTAATGGACCGAAAAATACCAACCTCTGTTCGTGCCATTTTTTGCTCTTTTGTATAGTGTTTTTAATATATGTCATTGAAAAATTGTTTTATTGATTTGTTGTCGTTCAAATACTACTAACATCAGTATAGAAATTGTATGAAGTCATCATAATTTATAGAAATAATAAAAAAAATCCAAAATATCGTTAACAAAATGCAGCTAATTCTGTGGAGAGTAAATACCATTAGATAAATCAGGTTTCACTGTCCTTCTGGATCAGTCGTTTTCTACATAAGTTTAGTTTTCTCCCTGACTCTAATCCACTATCTGAACAATGAAAAACTCAGATTCTTAAACTGTAAGACACTGCAGTGAGTATGTATGAAAACTTCTAGCAGTTCTGCTTCCCGTATCTTGTACTCATCTATCCCTTTCTTGTGTGTTTGGTTGTGTATTTCTGTGCAGGGATCTCTTCTCTGATGAGACAGGACAGTATTTCTTGTTTTGTAGTAACTTTTACTAGTTTAGTGAGTTCTTATAAGGCCCATGACTCTTTAACAGATATAGGAAATAAAATTTTTTGTAACATTTCTTTTCATATGTATATGTTATTCAGAACTTTTGAGATCTTATACCAGATTTTGAATCATTGAGTAATGCAATAGTAATAGCTAGGCTGTGAGGCATATAATTAGCTTTTGAAGCCATTCAGAAAAATATGGTAGAAAATAAAATTTTTGTGGTAACTTTTGGCTAAAGTAAGGAAAGCCCACTCCCTAAATATTGAAAAAGTATTTCAAAATTAGTACTGCTTTTTGTCTTTTTCCATCCCTGAGTTGAATTTCCAAGTTTCTACAGGGAGTTGCTTTTCATTTAATGCACACCAGTATCTAGATTGTCAGAACAAAAGCTCTTGGGTTTTTTATTAGTGTAGTGGAAGCGGTGTATGTCACTTTAGCACTTGGTGACCAAACCTACCTCTCTTCACAGATCAGAGAGCAAGCTCACCGATACGACATCAAGGACGAAGTGATGACCTTGAGCGGGATGAAAGAAGAGAAGAGCGAAGGGTAGATCGGTCTGATGATAGGAGAGATGAAAGGGCCCGGGAGA